TTAATGCTTTTTCCGCCTTTTTTGCCTCCCTTTTTGCCTCTTTTCCTTCAAATGCCTTTATTGCATGCGCCAGATATGTTTACTATAAAGTGCTCTTTGCATGCACTCTGTTCATTTGCTGCTTTTCAAGTTTGCACTTTAGCTCTTTATTACTTTTGTGTATTGTTTATAATATGTACTTATATAAACAATATATTATATATAATACATAATTTATATAAATATATATATAATATATTCATAACATATATATAAGTATTGTTTATTATAAATAAATAATATTAATTATTGTTGCTTGCTGTGTGTACCCACAAGTATATATTTGCATTTATTTATATTTATATATTTTTGTATTTCGAATTGCTTATTCCATTTGTGCATTAATGCTTATAAATGCATTTTCCAGCATGTTATTTATTTCATGAATACATTTGTTCTTTTCTTTTTTTGTATTATTTATTTCATAAATACATGTGTTCTTTGCTTCTTTTGTATTACTAACTGCATGCATGGACGCATGCATGCAAGCATGCAATTAATTGCATGCATGCAAAATGCATTAATGGCGGAACTGGCGGAGGCAGTTTGGGCTTGGCTGTGGTGCTTCGGGTGTATGTACACCTCAGCTGGTGCAGCCAACCGTTTCTTCAAAGCCCCATTTTTGTCTTTTTATCTTTTTTTGTTTCTATCTTTTTTTGTCTTTTGGGGCCCTCATTGTTTCTTTTTGTTTCTTTTTTCGTCTCCAGTTCTCCCCTTTTATCTCTTTTATTCTTTATCTCTTTTGTCTTTATTTTCCTCCTTTTTATTTCTTTTTTGTTTTATTTGTATCTCTTTTTGTCTTTTTTTCTTTTTCTCGCTTTCTAGCGGGAGGAAAAGCCTCTTCGCGACTGGCCTCCCTTTACCCCTTTTAGTTTTATTTTTTCTTTTTTTTATTTTCTTTTTATTTCCAAACAAAAGCAGCTTTCTTGCAAACCTGCTGCCCCCTTTAATGTCACAAAGCTGCTGTCTTCTTCGCCCCCAGCGGCAGCTCCAAGGGGGCCCCCCTGCCTTTTCCTAAAGGGTACTTGGGGGCCTCTGGGGCCCCTTACGAGGCCCCTGTGGGGGCCCCTCGGGGACCCCTTGGGGGGCCCCAGTGAGGGGGCCCCTGTGGGGAGTTACATGGAGGCCCTTGTGGGGGCCCCTGCAGGAGGGCCCCTGTGGGGTTTATTTGGGGGTCTTTGGGGGGCCCCTCTTAGGCGTTGCTCTTCTGGGGGCCCCAGGGGCCCTGCTGAGGGCCCCTTGGGGGCCCCGGGGGCCCTATTGAGGGCCCTTTGGGGTCCCCTGTGCATGCGTTTTGGGGCTTGCTCGGAGGGGCCCCCAGGGGGCCCCCGCTGCGCCTCTGTTGCCATCTAGAAGCACCGTTTGGCCTCAAGGGGCCCCCATGGGGGCCCCTCGCGCAGCTCTTAAGGCCCCCAAGGGCCTCCTTTGGGTTTAGGGGGGCCCCCTGGGGGCCCCCCTAAACCACGTTTGTCCAGAGGGTCTTTTTGGGGGCCCCACAGCTCGCGTGAGCTGTCTAGACACCTGAGTTGCTGTCTGTGGTCCCTTTCGGCCTTTCATTTTTCTAAAAACAAAAAAGTAGCATTTTGTCTTTAAGTGCAGCAGCGCCGTGTATGTACTATTATATTAATATTTGCATTTATATTTATGTTTGTTTGCAAATGTAAACAAATATAAATACAAATATTAATAGTGATATTAATATTGGTATCTATATTAATGTTAGTATTTATATTAATATCATTGTTAATATTAATATTGATAATAAAATTAGTATTAATATTAATATTAATATTCTTATTATTATTAATATTTATATTAATATTAAAACTCATATTAATATTAATGTGTAAGACAAGAAATAAATATAACTGCGCGTAAAAGCCCACGCAGCTGTACGTACACCCCAAGGGTGTCTTTTCGCTGTAAGTACTTTTAAATCGATTTTGCCTTTTAGTTGTTTTTATCTATTACTATATTTGTCATCATTTCTAAATTAACTCTATTTAAACATATATATAAATTATACATAATGGTAAATAAAACAACACTGATAAATAAATAAATACATATATGTATATATATATTTATATATATTTAAATAATTCCAACAAACACTACTGGGTATTTGCTAATATATGAATTTATTGATTTATGAAATAAAAAATAATTCAAAAATACACAAGTTCAAATTGGAGCCCGCAGTCAATATGAACGTAATTGGATTAAACTGGTGGCCTTTAAGTCATATGTGTAAGTGGAGATTGTTTGAATTAAATAATACAAATATATTTACATTACCTTTTATATATATATATGAATATATATGTTTATATAAATGTATATATATATATATATAAATATATACATAGATGCATATATATATATGTATATACATATAATATATATATATATATATGTATATACATATACATATATATATACTTTGGGTCCCTTCACATGTAAAATATACTCCTTGACTTGTGCAGATTTTAAATGAGCCAGAAGGACAAAAGCGAAAAAAATGGAAACATTATTATCAACTAAATAAACATTCTTTGGTACAACATGGATGCAAATAAAAACAACAAAAATATATATTATTTCAGAGAAATATTTTAAAACAGACTTATAAAATATAGTAAAAATATATTTTTTGCAATCATGGAGAAGTACATATATATGTATTGTGAGATAAGTAGGGCATCAGTTCGAGCTACAAGAAGCACCTGCTGCTGTATCTGCTGCTGCTGCTGCTGTTGCTGCTGCTGCTGCTGCTGCTGCTGCTAATTGTGCGCTACGAAAACTACTCAAAAGATCTACACCGCTAGCTCCCTAGGGTTTAGGGTTTGCGGTGTAGGGTTTAGGGTTCGGGGTTTAGGGTTCCGCGGTTGAGCGCTGATCGCGGCTGCTGCTGCGCGTTGCGTTCTTAGGTGAAACGCACATTAATTTAGGTGTTTAAGAAGCAAATAAAAAATCGAAAAGTCAAAAACAATAAATTAAAACAATTAATTGAATTAAATTGCCTTTTTAGCTCTTCCGCCCCCAAACTTTGTCCAAAAAGACCCCCGCTGCATGCAGAGTGCATGCATGCGCGCATGCATGCATGCGCGCATGCAAACCGCATTGCCGTGGGTCAAGCTGCGTTTGGGGCTTTCTTTCGTTTTCGGGGCTTTGTTTGTTTTTAAAAAAGGGTTTAGAACAAAAAGGGTTTGAAAAAAGAACCTCTTTTGCCTCTTTAGGGCGCCCGAGCTCCAGTACCCTCCTCGGGGGCCCCCCGAATGACCCAGGGGCCCCTTCAAGAAGCCAAGACAAAAAACAAAAAGATTTATTTAGTTTAATTCTTCTAAATAAACAACTTCAACTCAAGACCCAGCAGCATGTCGATATCAACAGAGGCACGTCGCAGCACCCCGGGGGCCCCCCTGCGGGTCACCCCAGCCTGGGGGCCCCCGGGGGCCCCCGGTGGCCCCCGGGGGCTCCCGGGGGGCCCCCGGGGGGCCCCCGGCCCTTGGGGGCCCCCTCTGGGCCTTTTGTCGTTTCAGGGGCTTTAGAATCTGCAGTTATGAAGCTCTGGGGCCTCCTGAGGCCCACAGGGCTTGGGGCTAGGGTTTAGAATTTACAGCTAGGGTTTAGGGTTTAGGGTTTAGGGTTTAGGGTTTAGGGTTTACGACCACGCTTCAGAAGCTAACTGCAGACCTCTCGAGAAGCAAACCAAATTAGGAAGAGGCAAAGAGCGCGACAGCAACTCTAGGGTGCTTACGCTAGGTTGAAAGTAGAGTTTAGGGTTTAGGGTTTAGGGTTTAGAGCTTAGGGTTTAGGGTTTAGGGCTTAGGGTTTAGGTGTGTACACAGGACCAGTGTCCTCTGCATTCGCGATCCCGCGATGTAAGCAAAACGAACTTCCCCTGAAACAGCAGCAGCAGCTGCTGCTGCTGCTGCCGCTGCTCTGGCTGCCGTTGCTGCTGCTGTCCCCCCCTGCTGCTACTGCTGCTGCTGCTGCTGCTGCTCTCCCCGTGCCTCCGTGCTGCTGCTGCCTGCGCAGCAGTCTCCGCTGCCGTATCAGCCGCCGCTGCTGCTGCTGCCACACCCCCCCTGCTGCTGCTGCTGCTCCCGCACTCCCACACCCCCCCGCCGCCGCTGCTGCTGCTGCTGCTGCTGCTGCTGCTGCTGCTGCTGCTGCTGCTGCAGGGGTTTGGCCGCGTGCCGCACCACCACCCCCGCGGGCTTCTGCGGCGCTCCTCCAGCAGCCTCGACAGAGGCAGCAGCAGCAGATTGGGCGAAGCATTTTGTGGCCGTGAGCGCTCAATTTGTGTCTCTTTTTTGATTTTTTTGGATCTTTTTTGATCTTTTTTGATCTTTTTTGGACCTTTTTGTCCTCTTTTTAACACCTCGTTGTCCCCCTTTTAATCTCTTTTTCGTTTCCTTTTTATTCCCTTTTTTTCTCCTTTTTGGCCTTCTTTAGTGCTCTCTTTGGTATCTTTTTTTCATCTTTGTTTCTTTTTTTTTGCCTTTTTGTTTTTTTTATTCTTTTGTTTCGTCCCTTTTGTGTCCTTTTTGCTTCTCCTCTTTTCTCTTTTGTGTCTTTTGTTTATTTCCCTTTTTCTCCTCCGCTTCTTTTTGCTTCCTTTCTCTCTTTTACCTACCTAAGCAGCAGCAGCAGCAGCAGCAGCAGCAGCAGCAGCAACAGGAGAGTGTGAGCAGCTGGCCGTTTGTTTGGCTGCGGCTGTTGGCTTTGCTGCTCAGGGCACGGGCCCTGCGGGTGTCTGCCAGGGGGCGCTGCTGCTGCTGCTGCTGCTGCTGCTGCTGCTGCAGGCTCGAAAGAACTTGCTGCGCTGCAGCAGCGAGTTGCTTCTTTGGAAGCAAGTGAAAGATCTCTTCTTACGGACATCCGCCACAAAGAGGCTCTTGTCCAGGCCTCTGTCGAAGCAGCAAAAGGCAGCGGCAACGAACTCAAAAGTCTCCTCAGGCAAGCTCCTGCTGCTGCTGCTGCTGCTGCTGCTGCTGGGATGGGCGTTTTGCTGGTAGTGGTGCTGCTGCTGGTGGTGAGGCGGTCGTGCTGCTACCGCTGCTGCTGGTGGTGCGGCTGCTGCTGCTGCTGCTGCTGCTGCTGCTGTTCAAGCGGCTTGAGAGGCCTTTTGGGGCCCCAAACGACGACAGAGGTCCTAAAGGCCCCCAGGGGCTTTTAGCTGCTGCTGCTGCTGGTTTTGCTGCTGCTTTTGCTGTTGCCTTTGCTGCTACTGCTGCTGCTGCTGCTCCCCGGGGCCCCCCGGGGTCCATGAGAACTGTTTGAAAGGCCTTTAGGGTACTCTAAGGGCTCCAACGGTCCCTAGGGGGCCCCTGGGGGCCCCCCGGGGGCCCCCAGGGGGCCCCCCGGGGGCCCCGCGGGGGCCCCCAAGGGGGCCCCAAAGATTGTTCAAGAGAATTAGAAGTTTGTGTGGGGCTGAGGGTTTGGCTGCTGCTGCAGAGAGCTGCGGGAGCTGCAGCAGCAATGCTCTGAACAAACAGCAGAAATAGCCAGCCTTAAGGGGGAGCTGGCGGTCTGCAGAAGGAGGCAAGACAAACCCTAAACCCTAAACCCTAAACCCTAAACCCTAAACCCTAACCGCTAGGCCTGACCGCCACAGCCCACTGCGGCCCTCACAGCAGCGACCACTCCCAAACGCCCCTTGCTGCCGCTGCTGCTGCCGCTGCTGCTGCCGCTGCTGCTGCCGCTGCTGCTGCCGCTGCTGCTGCAGGCGGGAAGGCCTGGAGGCGCTGCAGCAGCAGAAGGAGAGCCGGTGCGAGGGCCCAGAAGCTGCTGCACTGCGGTCGCAGCTAGCTGCTGCTCGGCTAGCTAGCCAAGAAGCAGAACATCAGAAGCAAAGACTGAAGCAGCAGCTAGCTGAGATGGAAGCAGAGCTGCTGCGCTACAAGTCCCAGGAGGAGCAGCAGCACGAAGAAACCCTCAACGACCTCTCCAGGAAACTCCGCGCCGCCAAAGTCCAAACCCTAAACCCTAAACCCTAAACCCTAGGCCCTGGGGTTTACACGCTGGAAGCCGCGGAGGGGTCGCGGGGCGGACATAGGCAAATGCTGCCAAAACCTCCACGCGCCAAACCACAAACCCTAAACCCTAAACCCTAAAGAGTGTTTCAGCTCGAAGTGCAGCACAGCTCCAGCAAACTCCCTAAACCCTCGCAGCAGCTGCTGCTGTTGCGACGGCGTAGAGGGTTTCCTGGAGGTGTCCTTAATGAATTCCAGCAGCAGCAGCGGCAGCAGCAGCAGCAGCAAAATCAGTAGCATTACTACCACTACCAGGACAGGCAGCAGCAGCAGCAATAGCCGTAGCAGCAGCAGCAGCAGCAGCAGCATAGTACCCACTGGGTTTGCTGTGCACCTGGCTATGGTTGCAGCTCTCATTACCAGCAGCAGCAAAAGCAGCCGCAGCAGAGGCAAACACAGCAGCAGCAACCGCAGCAGCAACAGCAGCAGCAGCAACAGCAGCAGCAGCAGCAGCAGCAGCAGCGGCTGCGTGCGTGTGCGTGCAGGTGCGGGTGTCGCAGCTGAAGTCGGAAAAGGCGGAAGGCGAGCTGGAGCAGCAGCGGCTGCGGCAAGCAGCAGCAGCAGCAAACCAAGAAGCAGAAAGTTTGCGGCTGCAGCTGCATGCAAAGGAAGCAGAAGCAGAAACCCTCAAGAGGGACTGCCACAGACACAAGCAGCAGCTGCAAAACGAACTCGCAGTCGGCCACAAACCCTAAACCCTAAACCCTAAACCCTAAACCCTAAACCCTAACCCTAAACTCAAAACTCTTAGTTCTGCACTCTAGGTTAAGGCGTTTGCTTTGTCTCTCTCTTTTCCTCCTTGATGCGTCCCAAACCTGCACCCTAAACCCTAAACCCTAAACCCTAAACCCTAAACCCTAAACCATAAACCCTAAGCACAGAACTAAAAGTTTTTGACCTTCCAACAAGAAACATAGAATGCTACTCCCTGTGCAGATGACTGGCAGCTGATGGCCAGCGGCTCTACTTTCGGGTTCCCGTTTGAGGGTCTAGGGTTTAGGGTTTAGGGTTTAGGGTTTAGGGTTTGGGGTTTAGGGTTTAGGGTTTGGGGCGTGCAGGCTCGGGAGTCGCAGAAGGCGGAGTGCCAGCGGCTGTCACAGGCGCTAGAAGGGATGCAGGAAGAAGCAGCAGAAACTCGAAGGACTTTAACTGCAGCAGCAGCAGCAGCAGCAGCAGATTGGGAAGCTCGGCTGCGCTCGCTGCAGCAGCAAGCAGCGCAGCAGCAAGAAGACACCCTCAGAATGGCAGCAGATGAGAGACGCAGGGCCCTTGAAGCCCTCAGGTGAGTCTCTAAACCCTAAACCCTAAACCCTAAACCCTGAGTGTTTCTCTTTTCGAGGGAGCTCCCACTGCAGACTCTCAGCAAGCCTAAACCCTAAACCCTAAACCCTAAACCCTAAACTGTGGGGCCCCCTAGACCCCTATGTCTGCAGAGGCAGCAGCAGCTAGGGCCCCGCTTTCTTCTTTTGCATACAAGTGGCATCTTAGGGTTTAGGGTTTGGGGTTTAAGGTCTGGGCTCTCGGTTTAAGGGTTTAGCGTTCCGGATCTGGAGGCTGGGCCCTCGGAATCAGGGTTTAGGGCTTCGGGCCTAGGGTTTAGGGTTTCGGGCGTGGGGTTTAGAGTTTCAGGTTTAGCGTTTAGGGTTTAGGGTTTGGGGTTTAGTCTTAGGGGTTTAGGGTTTAGTCTTTCGGGTCAAGGGTTTCAGAATTCTGGTTTAGGGTTTCGGATTTCGGGTTTCGGGTTCAAGGTTTCGGATTTCGAGTCTAGGGATTAGGATGTAGGGTTTAGGGTTTAGGGTTTAGGGTTTAGGGTTTAGGGCTTAGGGTTTAGGGTTTAGGGTTTAGGGTTTGCGGGGTCTCAGGGAGGAGTTGCGCGTGGCGCACGGCCAGGAGACGGAGTTGCTGCAGCAGCGGCTGCTGCAGCGGGAAGAAGAAGCAGCAAAACAAAGAAGACAATCAGAATCTTTGATTAAAAGACTTGAAGAAACTGCTGCCACTTTAGGAAGAGTAAAAGCACTTTCCAGAAAAGACAAAATGCAAATCGGAGTGAGTCTTGGGGTGTACGTACACCCCACAGCCCCAGCTGTACAGACGCCCCGCGCCTAGGGTTTAGGGTTTAGGGTTTAGGGTTTGGGGGTTGAGGTTGGGGTTGAGGGGAGGGTTTCGAGGCCGCGCCTAGGGTTTGGGGTTTGGGGGTTGGGGGTTTGGAGGGAGGGTTTGGAGTTTAGGGGAATGGGCTTAGGGTTTGGGGTTTGGGGGTTGGGGTTTAGGGTTTAGGGTTTAGGGTTTAGGGTTCTTTGCACTTTCGTTTCCTTCATTTAGCATTTAAATGCATCTCGAAAGGAAAAATAAAATAAAATAAAATAAAATAAGAAAAATGAAATAAAATAAAATAAAATAAAAAACTAACATTAATGATAATAATAACAATAACAATAGTAATAACAATAATAATAATAATAAATAAATGCTAAAGGGATATTTGAACTGCTGCAGCACAGATTCATGCATGCGCAAGTCTACTGCAATTATGCCTTTTAGAGAAAATGCAAATTTCCATATATGCGAAGCCCCAAATGCAAATAAAAGATGTTTTGCATGCATGCATGCATGCATGCATGCATGCATGCAAAAGCCCCAGATGCAAATAAAACTTGTGTTTGCATGCATGCATGCATGCCAGAAGCGGATTTATTTATTCTTTGTTTGCCTTTGTGACCTGCTGCATGCACTCTTCGCAAAAGTCTCCAAAGGATTTTATTTTATATTTTTAAAGTATAAATTTGATACTTTCGGCAAAGACCACAATTGCCGCAATTCTCACATGCATGCACGCTGCATATACATTGCATGCACATTGCATGCGCATTGCATGCGCATGTAAAGTGGGGCCCCACAAATGGCATTTTTGCGGCTTTTGCTCCTGGGCTGCAGCTCGAGCTCTGGTGTCTTCACACTTGGCAGCAAATGTTGAAAAATACTTTTTGAAATTTGTTTGACTTTGCATGCAGATAAATAAGTTAAAATAAAAGGAATAAAGAATAAATGAAACAAATTGCATCAAATAAATATAATTAACGCGAAAAAAGAATTATTAAATCTGCGCTTGAAACGGAATGCATGCAGCAGTGTGTACGTACAGCTCGCAGGTGTATATACACCTCACGGGCCTCGCTGATTTGCAGTTCGATTTTGAAATTAAAATCTTTTTCAAAAAATAAAAAGATATTTATTTTCAAATATTTGCATTTCACATTAAATGCTGCTTTTCGCCAAAGTTGGAGTTGCACACCCGTGATAGGCCTCAAACCCCAAACCATAAACCCTAAACCCTAAACCCTAAACCCTAAACCCTAGCTGCGAGGGCGCGCAGGAACTCGAGGGCCGCCTGCAAGGCTCGCTGGAAGAGCAAAGCTGCCAGCAGCAGCGGCTGTCGGAGCTGCAGCAGCAGCTGTCGCTGCTGCAGCAGGAAAAGGGGGCTTTAGCCAGCGAAGCAGAAGCAGCAGCACATCGGCAGCAGCAGCAGCAGCAGCAAATTGAAGAAACCCGAAGGGCCCTTGAAGAAAGCCAAACCCTCGCGAGGGCTTTGGCCCGTGAGAAGGAAACCCTCCACCACAGGCTCAGCCACCTCCAGATCGAACACACTAAAGTAAACCCTAAACCCTAAACCCTAAACCCTAAACCCTAAACCCTAGGCCCTAGGCCCTACTGGCCCTTTGGCCTTTAGCCCGAAGCCCTTGGGCGCGACTGCTGCGGGGATGGCTTGCTGCGCAGCAGCGGCTAGGGTTTGGCCGTGTGCGGGTTTAGGGTTTAGCGTTTAGGGTTTAGGGTTTAGGGTTTAGGGTTTAGACTTTCTTTTTCGGTGGTTAGTATAGACGATTTCTGGTTTCTGGCGTGGGGATTGTGTAAAGGGCGCCTATTTAGGGTTCCGAGTCTAGGGTTTAGGGTTTACGGTTTAGGGTTTAGGGTTTACGGTTTAGGGTTTAGGGTTTAGGGTTTAGGGTGTACCTTTCGGTTTTACATTTCCAATGTTCAGTCAAGTGTTTGGCTTTGACCCTTCGTCGCATCGCTATTCGGTGTTCGCGCTAGGGTTTAGGGTTTAGGGTTTAGGGTTTAGGGTTTAGGGTTTAGGGTTTGGAGTGCAGGCGTCTGAGGAGTGTGGGCGCGTGCGTTGCCGGCTGCTGGAGCTGTGGCGCTGCTGCTGCCTGTGCAGCGCAGCAGCAGCAACAGCAGCAGCAGCAAAAGGAAGAGAAGCAGAAATGGAATTTGAAACAAATAGAACTTTTTCTTTTCTTTTGAATTCTTCTTCGCCAGAACTTCGCCAGGCAGTCGAAGGCGCCTTCGAACGCGCCTGCAGAGACAGGGAGCAGCAATGCAAAGCCAGGTGAAACCCTAAACCCTAAACCCTAAACCCTAAACCCTAAACCCTAAGCCCTAGGCCCTAGGTCCCTGGCCCTGAGCCCTAAACCCTAAACCCTAAACCCCAAGGCCCTGCGGGCCAGTGAGTTCAAAAGGGTTTGCAGAGTGCCATGGGTCGACATTTGCAGATGCAGGGTTGATGGACGAGGGTTTAGGGTTTAGAGTTAGGATTAGGGTTTGGGGTTTAGGGTTTAGCGCTTAGAGCTGATTTGTCTTTCGCAGATTCGACGAACAACTGCGCATTCTAGAAGAGTGAGCTGCACTTGCTGTTCCTTTCGAACCACTTTTGGCAGCAGCAGAAGCAGCAGCAGCAGAAGCAGAAGCAGCAGCAGCAGCAGCAGCAGCAGCAGCAGCAGCTGCAGCAGCAGCGCCAGCAGCAGCAGCTGCTGTAGAATAATAATCACTGTATTTGCTGAGCTTGAGACTGTGACCCTAGGTGCAGTTGCCAGCAGCAGCAGCAGCAACAGCAGCTGCAGCAGCAGCAGCAGCAGCAGCTGTTGTGCGTCTGTGTCTTCAGCACGAAGTTATCTTTAGAAGCTCATCTTGCTGCTCGAGAGGAAGAGCTAGAAACCTCCAAGGGGCTTCTTAGAAGGCTTGAGGCAAAGGCAGCAGACGCTGAAGTGCGCTGCTGCTGCTGCTGCTGCTGCTGC